GGATTGGTAGATGTTGGGTGGGTGGGTGGGTGGATGAATAGATGGATGGATAATGGATGGATGGATTGGTGGATGGGTAGATGATGGATGGATGATGAATGGGTTGGTGGATGGAGGGTTTTAGAATCAGTCCAACTTGGCTCAAGCACAGGCATTGATTGTATGACATTGAGTTAAAACCCCAACCTCTCTGAAAAGTGTTTCCCCACGTGTAAAATGGCAAAGCTAACAAGCTCAGCTCGGCGATGGGATGGTGCTTATGGAAGGAGAAGCTGGAGGGGCTGGCACAACCTTGCTGCAGCTTTGGAGCGCCCCCCCACTTCAATGCCCAGGCTGGGGCACAGAGGAGGTTCCGGGGCTGCCATCAGCAGCCCTGGGGCCACCGACACCCTGGGCTACCCTGCCCAACCCTGAAGTCCCTCCCAGTCTGCCACCTACCTGTCACAGCAGGAAAGGTTCTGCATGTTCGTGCCCTTGCCCAGAAAGGCCAGGGGCCATGGGAGAAAGTGGGGTCACTGTCCTGAGCTGGGCCAGAAGCTGCTGGTCCACCCAGAGAGGTGGCCGGCGGCGCCCCTGGGCCTGGAGGAGAGTTTAGTCAGTGGGCCTCTGTAGGATGTGTCCTTGGAAGTGGACACACCACGGGATTAGGAGCTGGGGTCCCAGTTCTTCCAACACCTACCACAGGGCAGGGCCTTCAGGTCCTGGAACCACGATTTTCTCATCTATAAAGTAGGTGGACGTCGGTGGGGACAGTACCATCATCTGTCAACTGCTGGCCTCAGCCCCGCTCTGTAGGGCTGTTAGGGGCCAGTGGATAGAGGAAACTGCCTCTTTCCTCCAGCCGGGGAGGAGGCACAGACCTGCCGTGAGCCGTGAGCCGTGAGCCCTGGGCGAGGCTAGGTGGCCCGGGCAGTGGCGGGGCCTGGGCAGGCGGGAGGACCCCCCCATTGGTCAGGCTATTTCTCCTGTTGGCACGGGGATGGGGTAGGGCTGTTCTGGGCAGTGCTGTGACTTAACTCTGCGTGTTAAGGTGGTGCTTTGGGTGTAAGTCACAGAAGCCCAGCCAGGCGGCAGGGAGGGGCTCATGGCATCCTCATCTCATGGGGGAGTGGCTCAGCCCCATGCCAGCCGTCCCCACCCCTCAGGGCAGCGAGGCCACCTGGTGCTCCTGCCTGCGCCCTCTCCCTGGGCGGCCGGGGCTTCCACCCCCGCGTGTCGATGCTGTCTCCCCGCCACATGGGTCCTACAGAGCCATTGTGGTGCTGGGCGTGGAGTGGGGGTCCTCAGAGAAAGGCGTCTGCCCCACCTGTGACGGGCTGTGGTTTTGGCGGCGCCGGCCCTGGTCTGCTTCTGACCTGGCTTTGTCACAGCCCTCCCCTCCAGCCCTGGAAAGCCTGACCCTGGCCCAGCAGCCTCCCTGGGCCAGCCGCCCCCTGCCCACTTGCAGGCCCCTCAGGCCCTCCTCGCCCTCTCTGAAATGTCCCCTGGGTGGGGACCCCAACGCACCCCCACTCGGAGGTGTCTCTGGCCCCCTTGCGGGGCGAGTGGGAGGACCCGCCTGCATCCGGGCCCCCAGGGCGGCCCCTGACCGGTTGTGACGAGTGACCGTGTGCTCTGTGTCCCTTCTGTCCTTCCAGAAGCCCCCCGGCGCCCACGCCATGAAGGAGGAGGCCTTCCTGAGACGCCGCTTCTCACTGTGTCCACCTTCCTCTGCCTCGCAGAAAGCCGAGCCCCGGAGACTGGCCCCGAGCCTGCCCTTCGGCGGGGAGAGTGAGCTGTGCCCTCTCAGCCCTGGTCAGTGTGCTCAGTGGGCCGCGGCCCTTCCTGGCGGGTCCCTCCCCTCTCTGTGCCGCCCCGGTCAGTGAGGGCGACAACCTTGCCCAGCGTCCGCCCTGCAGCGCCAGGTGCTGTGCGGGGCTGACGGATGAAGCGTTTGCCGGGCAGCGAAGCGCCTTGACCATGGGCCCAGTGGCTCCACGTGGCCTTGGAGGTGTAGCAGGGGCTCCCCATTTAGGCTCTCGGGGGGAAGGGCATCATCCTCAGAGAGGCAGTGGGGTTCAGTGGCCCCACACCCGGGCTCCAGGGACAGGCAGCCTGAGTCCCAGCCCCGGCTCTCCTGGCTGGTGACCCTGGGCCAGCGGCTGGCCTCGGTTTCCTCGTCTCTGAAGTGGGGACAGAACTGGTACCTGCTCCGAGCCCCCGTAGCCCTGGGCTCCAGAGGGGGCTGGTGCAGCCCAGGCTGCTCTCATGCAGGTTGTGAACAAGGCACTGAGCCCACAGAACACAGGGGTCGCCGTCCTGCGATGCTCTCACGGCCCCGGGCCCACCCCCGCCTCCTTCTCCACACTCCACCCAGCCAACTGGTTCCCTGTGCTGTGTCTGTGACGGCCTCCCGTCCCCAGAGGGCCCAGCCCTTCCTTCCTGCTGCCCCTGCAAGGACCAGCCTGCTGGGAGGCGGAGCTTGCACCCACTCTGGGAGCCCCCTGCCTTCCCCCTCCCCCTCCTCCAGGCTGCCCACCCCTCCCCCGACTCCCTCACCCACATTGCGGGGTGAGGAGTGAGGGGCCCCAGCCGTCCCCGGCCACAGGGTCCGCCCCGGACAGGCACACACTCAGGACGAGGCCCCTCTGGCCCTGTCTCCTCCCCAGTGTCATCGAGCAGACAGGGAAGCCGAGGCCGAGTGAGGAGGGCATTGTGGAAGTCACGCGGTGGCGGGGGTGCAGGACGCCGGGGGAGCAAACTCAGCCTTCCTTCTCCGTGGCCAGGGAGGAGGCACAGGTCCCAGGTGGCCCTCAGCTCCACAGGGACTTGGTCCCCAGGGCAGGGCCAGGGCCTTCTCCGAGGGCAGAGGCCGGGAGGTGGGCGTGGACGGGCCGCAAGAGGAACCAGCGCCCGG